CCCAGACCTACTGAATCAGAGTCTTTAACAGGAATCACCCTGGGTGATTCACATGCACATTAATATCTGAGGAGCCCTGATCTGGGCAATCTGTTGGTGGAAGTTTCAGTCAGGAAACTGTAAGAAAGTGCTTTTCTCAGTTTCAACAATGTGAAGGGAACTAGAAGAGGGAATTTGAGGATGTGTTTGCGATTATTGGAGCCATCCCTTCTTAATCACTTTCATCCCTGGTCCTATTTCTAAGGACAGTAACCAGAATTTAGGCCCCCCAGATTTTCATCCTAGTTTGACTTTAAGCTTCTTGAGTGACTTTGGCCAAATGGTGCAGCCTTGGACTCACTGTTAGAATCCTGTGTGGACAGGACCTAGATGTTTTGGTTCCATACGTTTTTCTTGATATGACAGAGACCCTCGGTGTGCACAATGTCAAATGAGGCTCCTGCTTAGACATAACCTAGAAAATAATTTTAGCATACTTTTTCTCCTTGCCAAAAGGAACCTGGGGATTCCCGTTTAAGACAGTGTGGCTGTATGAAAGTGTCCCCACATTTAGAGTCATGATGTCACTAAATTAGAGCCTCATGGAATCGGAAGGGAGTGTGTAGGTCACCCAGATGCACCTCCTCTGAAGGCAGGCACCCCCACTGCAACACACGCCCTTCTCAGGTGAGCGTGGAGCCCCTGCCTGCACCAAGTCTAGGGGATGCAGCACTCACAACTGGGAGGCAGTCCCCTTCTTTGCTGCAGTGTTCTAAATTTTAAGATGAAACCCTTATATTGAACCTCACTGTGGTCTCTCTAACATTCACTCACCCTGCAATTTTGAGTTACACAGGCAGACTCACAAATAAACAAGGACGGCTACATATTCCCCTACAAAATATTCAGATTTACAAGTGGGATGTTGCCGTTGAACAATTTCTAGACCTTTCACCATCCACGTTGCTTCTTCTTGCCCCTGTTGTTATGTGGATCTTGGAACTGGTTGTGCTACTAGTTTAGACAACTAACTAGATAGAGTGCAGTGGGATAACTTTTTCCCATGCTTTATTTGTCACACTTCTACTGTCACCTAAGATGGCATTCTGTGTTCATTTTATAGTGTTTACTCATGTTCTGAATTCATCTAAGAACCTTGTTACTAAAGAAATGGGGGTTTATTCAACTTCTACTGTGTTCTAGGCACAGGAGATACAAAGACATATAAGATATGGTGCCTAACTTGAGTAGCTGAGAATTTATTGTGGTTACAAACTATGTGTTAGTTTCCCTAGTATGCAAAGCACCGTGGGAATACAGGGAGGAAGTGGCTTATTCTCTTTGGTTAAATTGAAGGTCTTTCCAAACACACCGTCATTTGAGTTGAGCTTTGAAGTATGTAGAGCAAGTTCGCAGGTCAAGAAGATGAAAAGCGAATTGCAGAGAGAGGCAACTAAATGTATAAAACAATGTAGGCATAAAAATGGCATATTATTTAGGCAACGAAATCCTGGGGAGATGGAATTAATGAATGCGCTCTGGAGAGTGGTCATGGACATTTTCACTAATCAGATCCAGGTCTCATGGGGGACTTGTAGGTGTCCTCTGAAAGATGTTCCACTCTGAAATTACAGGACATATCTGATTACAGTAAACCTTGTAATGGATACAGAGGGCATTGGTGTGGAAAACTTTGCATGCTAGGGCAATTATATTGTATTCACAAAAGGTATTATTTACCTTCAGTGCTGTAATTTTATTGTCTTCAGTTTTGAAAATGACCTAAGTGAGTTCAGAAGGAGCTTAGGAATAGTTCTGTTAAAGGGTAATTTCATGAGGTTTGCTTCCATGGGACTTGACACATATCTAACTCCCGGGAAGGAGAATGACAAAGATGCTGGGTTGAATGGGGAGTAGGATCTAAGGGAAAAACCAAAGACAGAATGCTCTGGAGCGCTTCTCTGGAGGCCTCTTGAGAGCTACTTGTTAAATGATCAGGAATTAAATATAGCCATTATTAACAATTAAATAATAGAAACGTATAACCAAATAGATTATGTTAAAATCACAGGTTATAAAACCTCTAAACTCCTAATTACCTTGCTACATTTTACTTTTACCTATGTCATTGAAGTCATTTGTATCTCCTTGGTGAAAATATTGTATAATGGTGTGCTATTAAGCATGTCTTCCCATCTCTAAGTTCAGTGATGTCATGTTGATAGTTTGAAATTATGCATGATGGGAGTGAAACTCACACCGGGAAAACTGGCAAATGCTAGAAGTCAGAAAATGCTGCAACTAGACAGCCAGTGGTTAAATGTTTACCAGCAGACCACTAGATCACTATCACTTTTCTTCAGTATCTATTAGGCACTGTTGCAAGGACCATTTTGAATTTCCATCAGGAAATTCAAAGCTTGAAGAATTGGCGAGCTAGATTGACATGAATATGGTCCTCTATAGGCAACAGTAAAATTTTGCAACTTAACCTGAGAGGGTTTTACACTTCACCAAACTCTTAAAATCTTATGTACACAGGGCCTTTATGCTACTACTGGTCACTATAGGACCTAGGCTTGACTTTTATTTGAAAAATTGTTATATTCCTTTATCTTCTCTCATCAAGACTTCCTTAACTTTAATTTCTTGCCCCCTAATCCTCCTAACAGGAAGGAATAAATCTACTTTTCAGATTCCTACTGGATTTACATGTATGACAATGGATTCTTGTGTTAGCTATTTAGAACCTTGTATTTCTAATGGTTGCTTGCTAGCACACTGCATTTCTGGGCAAAGAATGTCAGACAAATGGAGGGTGGGTGGCGAAGATGCAGGTATTTTAGAGTCATGAAATCTAGCTATGGATTCTACATATATTCTGGGTGTTATAAACAATCTCATCGCACTCCCCTTCAGTTGGTTCCAGTGTAAGCTACTTCTGTGGAGAGGCAAGGCTGTTGCCTTCTGTCAAATGACCTTATATCAAATGACCTTATGTAGACCAACAATCAGATCAATTGTTTCCATCTCCTGGGAAATATGGTATTTTAACAAAGGGAGTGTAGATCCACCATGCAATTAACTTTCTGTATGGACTGAATAAAAATATTACTTGGATGTGTGAGTGCTATTTGCTATCTTTCAAATGTTTGTAAGTACTATTGTGATAAATAAAACACAAATCTTTAAAAGTGACACTAAATCCATAGTTGCTGACAATATGTGTTTCTTTCAAGTGAGGATATTAAACATACAATTACTGTTATGAAGGGGTTCCTAGAATAATTGAATCACAATTTTATAAACTTGATGGGAACTTGATGGATACACACTAAATAAGAGGCTGGATGAGTCTATACTGAGTGGCTCCCAATCCTGGACATTCCAACTTTTAATTAACCCAACATTGATCCAGATGCAAGAAAAATTTCCAAAGATGAAAAAGTCAAAATGAAGTTTGAAGAATCAGATTCTACTGTCAGTTCTGCCATTGCTTTGACTAATTCACTTTTCCTCACAATCATTGTTCCCTTATCTGTTAGTGGGTCAGAAACTGTTTGCAGCCCAAGAACCGATATTTCCCTTCTGGGCTCTCAGGCACTCATTATAAATAGGAAAACCCCTTACCAAAATGTGTTAGAATTAATTGTACTTTTTCCTCTCTCACACAGATGGAGAAATCTTTGAGGTTAGAATCTACATTTGTTTGATCTCTAGAAGTCAGTGCAGAGCAGAGTGCTCATGGTGAGTGATCTGTGAATATTTATTTAATTGAATTACTATGAGGGTAAAATCAAATGGAAAACGTATGTAAAAGTGTTTTTTAAAGTGAGAATATATATATATATATATATATATATATATGTATGCATACACACACAAAAGTTAAGTATTATCAGAGGAATTATTTTTAATTTCTTCATCATCCTTTCATTTATTCTAGAAATATTTGCTCTTCGAGGTGGTAAGCAGAGGATAATTAGAGAAAATAAATCAATTTGTGCAATAGCCACAGCAAACACCAGCCTCATTGCTCTGATGTGTAATTGGAGGAGACAAGATTTTCAACCAGAAGCTGAAAGTAAGAACCTAAAGACACCCTCTGATTTGTGTGAGGGGCATCTCAACAAGAAAGAAAAGAACTTTCAGAAACTCAGAGAAAGGGGTACTTTGGTTAGGACGGGGTCAGCCTGGGGTGACAACAGAAGCAAGTAGTGAGAACCAATGGACCACTAAGTGAGCCACATCCCCAAAGCTAGACACTCTGTATTCACCAAATGAGCCTACATGTCCCTGTCTTGTTCACTTCCACATAATAGGCTTTTAAAAAGCTTGGAATTTGCAGTAAATTAGTAGTTTCCATTGACTTAAAGTAAGTGGGGCTAAGAGTACACTCTTGATGAGTGAAGTCACTCCAGCTTACTGGCAAAGGTAGTTTGGTAAATTAAAGTGTATTTGCAGAAATAATTTGGCAGAATATTTAAATTGAGGCTGTTTTCAGGATAGGTAGAAGCTAAGAAAACATCATGATTCTGAGGACAAAGTAACTGGAGAGGTTTTTAAAATTTCAGATTATAGTTGGGGGAGAGAAGGGCAGTGGAGCTGATGTTTCATTCCAAAGGGAGTATGGGACCTAATAGACTTTATGGAATTTTACACACACATGCACACACAGACTAGGCCTGGATAATATCTCTTGATCAGAGAATTCTTCCTGCCTGCCATTCCTTGAATGGAAAGTCCATGTACTTCCTTCTGTTGAAAGCCCCACTCCTGGCTCCCAGGTTCTGGGCTACTTTCAGAGTTCTTGTAGCTGTTGGTGGGTATGGAGGCACTTTCATGGTGGCCTTTCAGAGCTTTGGGCCAGACAGGGTAACACTGAGGACTTACTGTGGTTGTTACTCAGAGGCACAGAAGAAAAAACCTGAAGAAACTCGACAGTGGTCATCCCACCCAGCCTGATACTCTATCTCCTCACAGAAACACTTGATTGAACCTAGCCAGGTCCCTCAGGCTCATCATAGGCCCTTGTGGAGGCCGTTCAACCTCTGGATCTGCCCCCATATCACTGCCTTGACTGTCTCATTGCGAAGGGTAAGAATAAAGGGATTGAGAAAGGGGGTGAAGACTGATGTCACCAAAGCTACAGTCTTGTTGACTTCCACAGAGTGTGCTTTGCCAGGCCTGACATACAGGAAGATAGTGCTGCTGTAGCCAAGGAAGACCAGAGTGAGGTGAGACCCACACGTGGAGAAAGCCTTCTGGCGGCCACTGGCAGAGGGGATCCGCAGCACAGTGGTCACAATGTAGCCATAGGAGATGAGGGTCACCAGGAAGGAGCTGAGGACAAAGGCCAAGGCCATCAGGAAGTCCCAGAATTCTAGCAGGCTGGTGTCTGAGCAGGACAGCTGCAGCAGAGGTGCATTGTCACAGAAGAAGTGATTAATGGTGTTGCCATGGCAATAATTGAGATGAGCCCGGGAGAGAACAGTGGGCACCATGGCTAGGAAAGGAGCTGCCCAGGCAGCCCCTGCCAGCCGGGCACACACAGCCCAGCTCATCAGAGTGCCATAGCGCAGAGGGTGGCGGATGGCCACAAAGCGGTCAAGGGCCACGTCGGACAGGATGAGGAAGGAGGTGGAACCCAGGGAAAAGTAGAAGTAGAACTGAACCATACAGCCAGTGAAGGAAATGACTTTGTGGGGGACCAGCAGGCCTGAGAGCATCCTGGGCACTGTAGTCACGGTCACCAAGATCTCCAACAGGGAAAAGTTGCCCAGGAAGAAGTACATGGGAGTATGTAGGTGGCTGTCGGCTATGATCATGACTATGATGACAGTGTTTCCCATGAAGGCGAGAAGATAAAGCAGGAGGAAGGGCCCATACAGCAGAACCTGCAGCTCACCGAAAGAGGAGAAGCCCAAGAGGACAAATTCAGAAGGGTGGCTCAGATTTGCCATGATCCAGGGGCTAGGTGTCTATACATGGAAAGGCAACAAGAGACAGAGTTGGAGAGGCAGAGATAGTGACACAGAAGTAGAGCGAGAGAGAGAACCAGTGGCCGTGAAATCAAGATAGAGACGGAGAAAGAGAACAGGGAGAGAAAGACAAATAGGTGGTCAGTGATAAACAGAAGGACAGAGAGAGAGATACAGAGTGATAACAACATGGGGATATGAGAATCATAGAGAAACAGAGTTAGGGAGTCATAGAAGTAAAAGCACAGAAAGCCATTGATAAGGAGAGAGAAAAACAGAGAGGAGCAGATTAAGGGAGACAACATAGCCACAGACATTGACATTTAGGGAGAGGGCCAGAAACAAGCAAAAGAGAAATGGAGAGGCAAGAGAGGGAGACCAAATCTGTGAGACAGAGAAACAGAGAAAGATAGGGAGGGGAGGGAACATGGAAAGAAAGGATGAGAATTAGAGTAAGTCACCCAGAAGCTCTTGAGTGTTGGTGCTGGGGGATCTGCATCATGACTCAGTGATTGTGCACCATGACCCCTTTTAAAGGGTCCTTTAGGATCTTTTGGGCACTCTCTCTCTCTTGAAAACCTTCCCTCATTCACATTTCTCCAGTTCTGATCATAAAATTAACGGAAAGTCAGAGCTTTGAGTCAATAAATGAGCTTCCTTTAGGGAGGCCCTCTGGTATGCGTTTGCAAAGACAGAGAGCAAAAAGGACACAGAAGCTCACGGAGATAAGCCTGAGAACCAGGTGGCTGCCCTGCCAGCTACTAGAGGGCACTAGTGGTCTACCTAATGGCCCTGCTCTGCCTCCACAGGCCTCCCCTGCACCTCCCCGACTCTCCTCGCTGGCACAGTGGCCGGGGCCTGAGCTATGGACCTGGGTTTGAATTCTGATCTGACACTTGCTTGTGGAACACACTACTCCTCCCTTAACTTACCATCTCTGAAGCTCAGTTTACTCAGCTCTAGAATGAAGATAACAAGAGAACCAGCTTCTAGGGCTGTTACAAAGATCAAAGAGTAAACTGCTTTGTACATGGACCAGCACGTATTCCTGTGCTCAACAAACGGTTATGGTCATTGTTGTCCTTGTTATTGCATGGCTGCCACTGCCCTCAAAGTTTCTTGGCTCATCACCTCTCTACTTTCTTGAGGGCCAACGTGTGTGAAAGGTGTGTGTGCGTGCGAGTATTTCCACAGCTTTATGTTTTTCCCTCGAATTTAAGGTCACTAAAAGGATACTTTAAAAAACTTCCAATAGTCAAAGAAAATAAAGATTACAATACAAACTATCAGGAAAGAGCATAACTGCATAGAAATATACTCTGTTCCTCTCTCTGGCCTCATAAAAGCTGTCCTGACCTCCAGCAATGGCACTCCAATTAAACACTCCCTCCACCCACTTTGTACCCATCCTACTGACAAACCTTAACAGTAGGGCTAAACCTACACTCAGTGCTGAGAAATTCAAACCCAATCCTTGTGTCCGTGCTGCACAAAAGCCTGACCCATATACAAACCTAAGCCACTCACCTTAGCCTCTTAGCACAGTGCCTTCTCGAGCTGTTCACATTAAAAAAGTCATGTCTAGAGATTCCTGCCTATTGGGTCCACTCTGTGACATGAGTGACAAGAGATATGAGGTCCATCGCCCTTGGTTGTGTGTTGCAGCAGAGGACAGGGGCTTCAGCACAGCTGGAATGGGGTGGCACTGCTGAGTGAGTGGTTTCACAAGCTACAACATCTCCAATCCTTATGCCAATTTCCTAATTAAAGGCTCACCCTGTGTTATGACAAAGCCCAGGGTGGCAACATTGATGTGGGGCTGGAACGTGGGAAAGAAGTCCTTCTGGAGACCAGAGGGGAAAGGTGCTGTTTGTGTTCCTTCTTTCCCAAGGATGGGCGTTCGTGGTTCTCTCTATTCGCCCTGTCTCCAAGCCCTTGGTTTCTTGAAGTGGTTTAGAGCTGAGCTTACACTGGATGGAAAACTTAGATTCCTGCAGAGCATTCTCTCTGGGAATGATGGGAAAGCAAGGAGTCTTCTGGGGATTATGAGGCACTGGCATTACTCCTTAGAATAATAAGTCTCATGTTCTGAGGAAGTAACATTTGAGAAAAAGATCTGAATGAAGAAAAAGTTAGAGACTAGATACACCTAAGCAGCTGATTGGTTCCATCGCAGTGCCTGCCTCCTGGCCCTTTCTTTCCTCCTAGGATTGTTGAACAAAAATGGGATAATGGAAAAAGCACAAAGGAATTTCCCTGCCCGACTTAGATTATGGCACACTGTGTACACGGCCAGGGTTAGATCCAGAATTCCCATTTGGAGATTTTATCTCCCTCTCAGATCCAGAGTTTGAGATCGGGGAGTCGGGGAATGTAGACCATGGACCACAGCATCCTCTTGTCTGAATTCTCTGGTGCCATCTTAGAAATTGAGGAATCAAAACAGCAAGCTTAAAAGAAGGTATCTTCCTCTCAGAGAGATGCCTCTGGGAACTGGCCAGACTAAGGGCTTGCAGAAATAAATAGTATTTTATTTAGAAGTAAAATAACTTTACCCTTTGTTTCTAAAATGTCTGTTTGGTTCTTCTATCATGTGTTCCAGGTTGATTTTTCTGCTCAGGAAGTTAGCACCAGTTCTTGTTCTTCTTTATCGAAAAAGTAAGCTACATCTAGTTTATTAATAGAGCAGTATACTGTAAGACTGCCCTGTTTCTTTTAGAATCTCTGGAAGGATTTCAAAAAAAAGGTTATATTTAGAGATACAATTGCAACACTGTAGCTGTCAACAAAGGACCCTTCTGATAGCCATCCTCTAGGAATCATGCTGAAGAAGTAACACAGAACTGTCTTTCCAAAAGGATATAGAAGCTTTCAGAGAAGGCAAAGTTGGAACATATATTAGATACATAGACTATATGATGCTAAAGTCACAGATATGATAAAAATATGAGTTGATTAATACATCAAAAGTTTCTCACTATGTAAAGTTTACTGCAAGTCCAGGGCAGCTATCTTCTCCATGGATATGATTCAACATTCTAGGTGCCTTTCTTGTGCATATCCATACAATTACATGTTTTCTTAGACAGTGTGGTAGGGGAGTAGAACATGGAGTCTGTTAAATGCTTCCACCATGATTGACTCATGACATTTCTATTCACATGTTACAGCTCAAAGCAAGTCACATGACCATGCCCAAATTCAAGAGTGTGGGAAGAGTGTGTTTGTATGTGAGAGAGAGAGAGAGACAGAGACAGAGAGAGTGAATCCTAATATATATCATGCACCTTGCTAGGCAAATGTATACATATTATAGTGCATATTACTTTTAATTTACACAACATCTTTGTGAGGTGTTTAATATCTCCAATTTTACAGAGGAGAGAATGGAGGCTCAAAGAAGTTGCATAAATTGTAAAGTCAGAATTTAAACCCATCCGAGGCTCTCTGACTTCAACATTCATGCTTTCTTTTTAACATATGCAGTGATAAACAGCCTATAATGCTCAATTCAACATCCTCTCTATTAATTCTAACTTGCTTGAACATCTGAAATAGGCTAAGGCATGAAAATAAATCACATTACATGGGGACAATAGAGTATATCTGAAGAGTTCAGTTTAACAAATTTTTGGTCAGCCCCTTCTATGCATTAGGCACCAGGAAAGCTCATAGTCTAAAAGAGGTGTAAGGTAATAGACACACTTGGTATGTAAGACAGTAAAAATGTACTCAGAGTGCCATGGAAATATTCAAGAACTTACTTAGTATAATTGGTGGAGGCAGAGTCAGTGTAGGCTTCCTGAAAAAACTGATGTCTGAACTGAGTCTTTTAGACCTTGATTATCTCTGCTACTTTGGGGCTAATTTTATTCATTATATTCTTCTCTATCACTCCTTCTCCCTTGTAACCTATTGATCTCCCAAACAGTCCCCTTTACTCATTGAAGACTTTGGCATCTGGCTGAGAACTATCCTTTTCACTCCAAGTTATGCCATCCTTCCAGCTAACCTCTACATCTATGTGGATAATCCATTCAACACCTTGGCCTCTCTTGATCTTCTCCACTCCGTTGACTTCTACCTAAACTTCACTCCCATGACTTTCTTGCCTTGTTGTCATCAAGTGCTCAGAATTGCAAATATTCAATTTTCAGAATCAAGTCCATAGAACTCATAATTCTAGTCTTGCTGTCAGGTAGTTGGCCATTCAGATCATGTGTTGCTGTACCTTTTTCTACCTCCACAATTCATTATTTCTAACCAGGCGCCTGAAGGACAGAAGGGACAGCAGGGGTTCATGAGCAAGACTGAAGCTTGAGGACATGGCCCCTGCAGATGCATAATTTTATTTAGGGACAACAGCAAGAAAAATGAGGAAGCTGATGAGAAATTTAATGTATAAACTGTAGTAGCTGTGCCAGAGTTTCAACTCCAATTTTTTGTTGTAACATCTTCCAAGTTGCTTTCCTAGCCCAATCTTAAATGACTCTTTCTCTAGCTAGGTGAAATGGCAAAGGAATACAAAATAAAATTATAAAGAATATGACAAAGTGTCCTGAACTAGATCCCCGGAGTTGGGAACAACTGGTGCCAGCTGGGTAAATGAGAAAGTTGATTCCATTTGCTTTACCACCTCATTTATTTCTGGGGCAAGACAGACAAATAATAAAATATATACTTATCAGCAAAAAAAAAAAAAAAAAAAGAGCAATAATAAAGAGGCAGTCGAAATTCCAGGAAAGGAAAAAATTTACTAAAAAAAGTTTTTGTTTTTTTAATTTTATACCACACCACCCCAGAGAAGAATGAGAAAGTTTCCAAAAATGTCTTAGGGCTAAATAAACCTAAAACTGAACTGAAAACATATTCTTCTATTTTTTAATACAACATTTATAATTAAAAAACTCTGAAGAATAATAAATTTAACTAAGAAAAAAAGTGTTGTATGATGAAAGATGATGCTTTGGAAAAAGTAGATTAATAAATAGAGAATGTGGAAAGAGATGGGAAATTTCCTGGTTCTCTTCAAGGATCTTCTACACATGTCTAAGGGGCTACAGGTTAATTCCTCAGATTCATTGTCATTTCCAATATGATTCAAAACCTACGAGTTTCCAAAATGGTAACTGTCATTTTCTTTGGGCAGATGGATAACAGGTGATTTTTATTTCTATCTTCTTGTAATGAGAAAATGCACAAACTACTTCTAAAAGAAATTGTTTTTCCTTTTGCTTGTTAGGTCTGTTAACTGCCACCACTTTTATACATCTTGCTCTTGGCTTGGGTGGTTTTAGACCAATAGAAAGGCAGTAGAGAGAAGGAGTGCTATCAGAACTCAGAAGCTGGGTCAGATGAAGACCCAGATGTGAATGTGAGAAAGAATGTCTAGGGACTGTAAGAGGTGAGAGAGGGTAGGGAGGTGGGAGGGGATGAATTATGCATAGCTCCTCTGTAGAGGCAGAAAATAGGTGGCTGGAAAGATGTGTTTTTTAAAAGATTTTATTTTTCCTTTTTTCTCCCCAACATCCTCCAGTACATAGTTGTATATTCTTAGTTGTGGATCCTTCTAGTTGTGACATGTGGGATGCTGCCTCAGCCTGGCTTGATGAGTCGTGTCATGTCCGTGCTCAGGATCCGAACTGGAGTGGAGCATGTGAACTTAACCACTCGGCCACAGGGCCGGCCCCTGGAAAGATGTTTATCAGATAATATTTTATTTTAGCTCTTGCCTGAGGAGAGATGGATGTGTTAGGGAGGAGTAGGGATCAATAGGCTCTTGATGTTGATAAGACGTTTGTAAATTAGGTTCATGGTCACAGTCTTCTTATCTTATAACCTGTATTTTTATCGTCTGAACTGAAATTTCCTGAACCAATGCTACTATTGCCTTATATCCTTGAACTTTCCATTTATGTCTAAGTGTATTTCCTAAATAATACTCAATTATGTGCTAGGAAGCTAACATCAGACACACATAATTTTGCTGTAATATGTGTTTAGCACCCTTTTGGGAAAGCGTAGCCCCTCC